AATCTGCGCTCTGAAGACCTTTAACATTTGATCTACAATTAAAATGATGCTAATATATCATCCCAAGTTCTAAATTTAATTAAAATCACTGTTTTTTATGAATTTAAACTCTTAAACTTCCTTGAAAAAACACTCCAGTGTTCCTTGAACAGAATTGTTTTAAAACTTCTCTACAAATAACTCCTTCCGAATATAATACTGTATAAATTTGTTTTCGAAACTTTTTGAGAATTTCAAATTTTGGGCAAATTTCGTAGATAATACATAAAAACTATGAGAGGTCGACTGGGTTACCCCAAAAAAGTAAAAACTGAAATAAGAAATCACAAAGACGGCAAAAGGGCAATAATTAAAAAATGAAAAATATGGAAAACATGCGGAAACTAACGACACAGCAAAAACTAAGACTATAAACAGCAAAAAAAAACTCGCTCAGTGAAAAATTTATGAAAGAGAGACTACAAATATTGCGATCTCGAGAACAAGAAAAGGAGTGGAAATAAAAATGCAGTAAAAAAATTTATTAATATGTAGTGAAACAGCACAACAAAGAAGGACTACTAATACTAACATAAAAACAGATAGCTGGAATGTGACGTCAGAAAAGACACTAGCAATCAAACTAATGGAAAAACAGAAGGAGTAAATAACAATAATATTGCTTAATGCATAAAATGAAAACGACACTACATAAAATAAAACAAATTCTGGAAATATTTGAATCAGTAAACGAAGTTAGTCGTAGTAAAATTCCTCTAGCGGACAAATTTCAGTGGATATTATAACAAAATAAAAATTTCTGCAGAAATTAGAGATTAATAACAAACAATACTTTCCAGATTGCGCCAAAATAAAGAAACTGTCCAATGTATGTAATTCTTTCGTCATTATTTCAGAAAATTAAAAAGCTTGTATATATAAATATGGATATTAATGCACCACTTCATTTCTGCCACACAGCAATGACCACACTCAGTGTAAACAATATTTATTTAACTAGACAAACAATATCTTGTTTAAATCAACCTTTGCAGTACCCACAATCGTTATATAAATATCACTAATTAATCATTATTAATAACCGTTTGATGTCACAGATCACCGAAACGTGAATAATAAACGCACTTTCAGTCAATACAGTTAATGATGAAAATGAAAACTGTTGTTTCGCATTTTTTTACACAAAACGTCGGTGCCAAGCTCGAAGCCATTGAGCATGTAAGTGATGTGTGAGGCATAAAGCCACTTCCGTTCTGCTTTATTCGCATGGGGTGCAGAGTCGAATGTTGCTTCCTGCTTCCTGCATGGATTTAACGAGTTCTCATACCATTTGCTCGTGTGTCAAGACAAAATCAGTCGGCATCAAGCGCGGTTATCATATTGAAAGTTGTTATAACAATACACACATAATAAATTCCACTTCCGGGAATCACTAAAATCGTGACAGCTTCCGCTCCGGGAAAGCTCAGAGAATGGAACCCCACAATAGCTTTAAATATATTAATGTTGCGTAGTGATGAGTTGCCTCACTTTCGGCACGAATGGAGTAAGGGGGCGAAGCCGATAGATGAACGTCAAATATTTGATGCACTGTGATACTGTTTACTATATCCATAGGTATATTTTTAACATCTGAATTGAGGAAAAATTAAACGGTAAGAAGGAAAAATGATTCACCGTAAGAAACTTCCTGTTATTTCTGGGTTAATGGAGCGAATTAAAATTACAAATTTGTTTTTTTAGTATAATAAATAGATTGTATTCAATTTTAAATACTGATATTGAAAAAAATTATATATTTATAAGTATGGTTCTTAATAAAGAGTACACCTTAAGTCTGTGAATTCTTTCTCTGTCTCTAATTAATGCAGATTATAGTTTTATCTAAAAATTTTTTAAGCAACAATATGTTCAATTTAAAACAAATAGAGTCTGATTAATGCTGAATAAATTGTAGTTGCTTTGACGAAAAACAGTGGAAATACTTAACTGAAAATTAATTCATATTGTTGAACCGGGTCAGGAATGCCTAATAATACCGTTCATTTACATTCGATTCAATAGCTTATTTGAAAAGAATTCTAGTGGCGCAAAACAAATCTGCCAGCTTTAACCGCCGCGAGAGGAATTCTACAAAATTTTTCTCCTACAGTTTATTATTTAACGAAATTTGTTGCTTAGAAAAACTCGTGAAAATGCTAAAAACCCCTTTGAATATTAAATTGTTAAGGCGCTAAATATTCTACTTTAATTTGATGTACGAATAGCACTTACGAGTGACGCAATTCCTTCCACGTCGAGCGGATTGCACAAAGAGCCGCGATTCCACGTCACCCGAGACGAAAGGATTGCCCCTGGCGACGTTGTAGATTGCGTGTGTAGTGCAATTCCTTTGTGTGGGCGTATTCAAACCTGGTTGATTGATTACATTGTAGCTAAATAGCACCGCATTTGAACGGCTTTTGGAGCATTACGACATGTCATTTGAATCGATTGGTTTTTTGCATCTGAGTTATCCACAACCCTTAATTATATCTCGGATAAAAAACGCGGACATGGGGGATTCAGCTAAATGGATTTGATATGTATTATTAAATAATAATAATATAGAGTTACAACAGATTTTTTTTACAAATAAAAAGTTAAAATGCTACAATAAGCTTTAAATTGAAATAATACACAGTGGGTATTTTCATACAGAAAAACAGTTAACGGAAATCCATTACCATAAACAACCTGCCCACATAAAAAATAATAAAATCAAAGTAACAAATACAAAACATTTGAGAATATTTAAGCGAATTTGTAGGACGAGAGAAAATTTATAATTCCAGTGCACAAAATATTAATCGGTGCTCACTTTTGTAAAAATGTGTAGTTATCATAATCAATAACAATTAAAAATATTAATCCATCTAAAAAATGACACCTTGTTATCAAAATTGCCAGTGTTTGCAATAGAAAATGTCGTCGATCTGTTAGCAGAGTTTTATGTATTGACATCCTTCTACATACATTTACACTGACTTATCCCCTTTAAAGCAACTCGAACGTTTTCACAATTTCTGCTATACAGCTTAAATCTATATTACAGAAATAAAAAAAAGTTAATTGTTTAGTTCTTCCGGAAGCTTCGAGAATGTTTTCTTCGAACGCTAACAGTCGCCGTAATTCAGTCTCAAGATCTAAGATTATTTTGGTAACAAATTTATAACCTACCTCGTTCAAGTAAAATTCACGAGTGGGTTTTTTTTTAAGTTGTTCGATATTTTCAAATCACAATGTTATTTTCTCTTTTTTTTTCAGTATTAAAACAGGAAGCTTTCAGCTGCGTTTCCCGTTTGTAATTATTGAATCTTGTTGTAATGGGGCACTGAGAATTTATAATGTACCTGCAAAAATTATATTTACCTTGGGAATTAAAAAAAACATGACTTTTTCGCCAGTCTATTCAAACCGGCTCCTTTCATGGTTTCTCGACGTTTCGTGACCCCTAGACTTGTTGATAACGTCATAACGAAATTTTTATATGGTTAACTCACTTGAAACACACGCATAACATGCTTTTTACCTGTGGGTTAACACCCCAAAATTCGCAAAATTGAATTTTATAAAAAATATAGGTGCTGCTAAACCAATAATCCATATTCATTACCTTAAAGCTAAAAATATCTAAAATATGCTAAAATCAGTTAGCGTCATTCAGGTGATATTATTTATTCCTGAAACGTTTTATATTTTGGGATAAATTCATTAAATAACGTCTAAATTTTGTCATAAAAATACCCATCTACGACATCAGGGTTTTCAGAGTTCGTAAATTCCTCCCAGTTGATTTTTCCAATAGCTCTACATACGGTATATAAATCGGCCCTTAGACAATCGTAACGTCTTCAAGATTCACTATTCAAAGTTACAAATGGCAAATTACTTTTCCTGGAAACCGATAATCGAAGGAAAAGTGCCTGCTGATGTTTGTTTTTTGTCACAAGTAGAGGCAAATACAAAATTAAATCTAAAACCTTTTCGTCCTGGCCCTTTATTGCTTTTATGGGATTGAATTGCAAATTCCTGCCAGAGACACAAACGTGTTTAATATTATCGTTAGTCTTGGAGGTACAACACAAAATCTCAAAAATTCAAGGGGACTCGTTGGAGGAGGTATAACAATTTTTCCATTTTTTTATGATAAATGATATTAATATAGATGTTTTATAAATACACCTGGAAACCTGAAAATTTTGATCTTTGTTCACTTTATTCTTTGGAGATTATACAAACCCGCAGTGAGGAGGTGGAGTATTCTAATAGCCCTCAGTGCTGGGTACCGGCAATACTTCTTCGTACGATGGTAGTTTTTTAGTGAATGTTTAGTAAGTTGCGTAGATACAAAGAAAAGAAATAAAAGATTTCATATTAACAAGAGAAAAATATTAAATGTTTATTTTTCTCTTAATAAAAACTTATAGACGGAAAATCAAAAATTTCCAAGAGATTATTTGGTGCAAATTAAACCTGACATTGTGACATTTATAGTGTGTAGCATAAAAAGCGGAGGACGTAGATTGCAGCCGGAATTAGCGACGGTTTAAGAGCTGTAATTTCTATGTCTGTCACCCAAGACAATATTTTACCAAAAGTAACAATGATTCCGGAAAACCAATTATTTTCCTTTATCCAAGAATAACGTATGATGTTTTTGGAATAAAGAGTTCATGAAGTAGCAAATCCGGCGAACTCTTCCCAGCTCCTGCCATTTTTCGCCGCTGATAACGCCTAAAGTGACTGCGCGCTCCCAGCACTTTGTAAAACTCCAGCAACTTCACTAATCCTTCTCAAGTATGAAATTTAACGTAGTGTAAATCTGCTATATTATGTAAATAGATGAAATCTAATATCCATGACAGAGCCTCGTTGTATAGGTCAGGGTAGCGGGCGCAAGCGCCTCCAAGTTGGTCACGTCGAGCGTCGCGACGCTCCTCGTCAGTCGGCATGCGGCACGCGGTCGGCCAGCCCATACCGTTCCCATGGCTCTCCAGCTCTTGATTTTCGCGCTCTCTTTGCCGGCGTTCATCGCAGAAGCCGCGATGGACCTCACCGCTGGTAAGTCCAAACTCCTCTCGCTCGCTCCGCAGTCCCCGAGTAAAAGAACGAAAGTGATTGATAAGCCGTATCAGTGATCTACAGGTAATGCTTGTGTTTGGCTGCGGTCACGCAATTTTAATACGGATGGATTTTTGAAGAGCACACGCGAAACCTCTTCATGTTTGAATCTGATTAAAGTTTTTACGATGCTAGCGTTATTGCTGCGATGAAAGTTTAATGTATGGTACGATTTGATGAAATCTGTGTTTCGTAAATGTTGAAGGACTTGTGCTGATTAAAAATCAAACTTGAATGATGCGTGGTGGTTAAATTGGAACGACGGGTTGGGGGCGATTACCCTAATTGACAAATTCGGTAATTGTAGCCGCTCTAATTACGACATGCTTATCGCTCGTGTTGACACACGAATTTGTAGCTTTCTACCTTGGTGTTATTTTTTTGGATTTCGACTTTCGCAGACGGTTTTTTTAGGACTTCGATATTTTGTTTAAGTAAATAAAAGCGATATTAATGTTTTTCTACCCCTGCAAATAAAACTCTCCCGTCTTCTACACATGATTTACTTTGTTTTTTTAATCTTTCTTCGTTCGCGTTCATTGTACTAATAAAACATGTAGATTTATTTGGCTGTGTTGAAAACCGCCTTTGCTGGAAACAGTTGAACATATATTTAGTTTTCTTTTATGGCGTCTTTAACACTTTTTTTAGATAAATTTTAAATAAATTTATGTCTGCTTAGCTAAAAAGACATTAATAAAGATGAATAAGTTCTGGGAAGTGCCTAACCCCCGAGATAACGTGCAGGTTATCGGAAAAACAGAAAAATATGTGCTGATATTTTCAGATTTCTGCGGAGCATAAAGTCAAAGTAGTTCATTTTTCGTGAAAAATGTAGTGTTTGATAGTAAATGATGTGAAAATTTATTTGGCGAAATTACTCATTTTTAAGCTCGAAATTACATCCGACGATGTTTTACACAGCAGCGTGCTAAAATGCGTCTAACAGTTAGTAACATGGTTCACCTAGGTAATGAAATCCATTATCGCATTAGTTGAACTCGCTCCCAAACTTTTTTATCAATAGCTGTTATTGTAAACTTCCTAAACACATTCCGCGAAATAATTTGTTGTGAAAATTACTCAGACAAAACGCGGTTTTCATGACAGTGCACGATTTCAACAATATTAATTACAGAAATAAGGTTATACTCATTGAAAGCGGTGGATTTTGTTTTAGGCAAAAGTGCTCTTAGTGTATTACTATTTTTTAAACGTAGCTAGAACACTGCGACACCAACAGGTTGTTTGATGTACTAAAAAACATAGACTAAATAAGTTTTGTACTTAGTTGAAATTTACAAACTCTCATTTTTTTTAGAAAAATTTTACTGTTATATTGGTAATGTAAAGAAATGGTACACTTTCATTCTATCCATGCTTTAAATTTTTCCTTTATTTTCCCTAGCAAATTTTCTCTCAATATATCAATAACCTGGTCACGGAAACGCTGCGCTTCAAAGTGGCGCTGCTGAGAATAAATGTTCGAATTCAAACAGCAAAAATATTGTTACTTTACACAACGATAAATTTCGTTTAAAATTATGGCCAATGTACGACGTTATAAGTAATTTTTTCATTTTATTCCATAGTTTTTCTATGGGAAACAAGTCAGAACTGCTGCATTTGTTTTAATGGTGTTTTCTGTATCGTGAAATTCCTTTAAACTTGTGGCAGAATGCATCGTCCTGTTGGAAAATAAATGTTTCTCCTGATCGTAAACCACCACATACTGTAGCTAGTAAACTTTCTACTAAGATGTTTATAATTTTCCGTACTTACTGTGTAGTAATGTAGTTTTCCACACCTGTTGCAGAAATCGATCGCCAAGTCATAACACTTTAACTTTTTCTTTCAAAAAATTAGGCGATAAGTTACGTTTTTCAGTCGAATTACTCGACTTCGTGTATTCGCTCGAAGAAACCTCAAACCGGAATATGTATGTAGCTCCATTTTTCAGTAGTCCAATTTTTTGTTATTAAGTACAATTCAACCTGTTTTTCCATTGCTTTTTTGTCAAGAGTGGCTTTTCTTAGGCCTTCGATTTTTCTTATAACTTTATTGAAATAACTTTATTTTTCAAACCCTAATCTGTGAGCTTCCCGGTGTATCTTGAAATATCTTTTCCAATTGTTTCGCTCCACAATAAGTTCAATTGTCCATAGTTGGAACGTCTATTTTGGCGAATAGTTCGTTTTAGAGTTCTCTTATTTAAATATATCTGAAATATTACATGGGTGCAAAATTTTAAAAGCCGCGAAAAATTCAAATTTTGACCTCGAAGTGTCATCGTCAACAAAACTGGGACCCTACGTTCTTTTCTTATAGCTCTCAGCTTCAAAACCGCCTAACCTACAAAATTAAATCAACTCAAATATTCCGGATCAATGCAGATATTTAAATATCCCAAACTTAAGCACCACAATTAAAAAAAATCGAAATTACAGTAACTAGATGTAGAAACTCAAGCTATTACGAGAGTGTGGCCGTCGCCTCTTACCCTTCCTTGGCGACTCTACTCTATAAATAGGTATAACACACACTCCACATTTCTGTCTCCAAAAAACCTGCCGTATATTACACTCCTTACCCGATTTTATTAAAGCAAGTTACGTATTTCACGCAGACGTGGGTCTTCCCATGAACTTTCAATTTCTATATCTATTTGAACAAATCACAAAATCGCAAACTTTAACTAGAAACCGCAAACAATAAACTGGGCTCGGAAACGCTACGCTCTGAAGCGGCGCCTCTGAGAATAAATGTTCAAATTCAAGCCGCAAAAATATTATTTCTTTACAGGATGATAAATTCCCTTTGACATTGTCACCAATGTACGACTTTGTATGTCAATAATTTTATGCTAGCGCTAGTACTGTTCTTGCTGGGTTTGCACCAAATCTTTTTTTTTTTTATTCCATAGTTTTTCTATGAAACACATTTATTTTAATAGTGTGTTTAGTAAACCATCGTGAAGCTCTTCTAGACGTGTGGAACAATGCACCGTTCTGTTGGAAAATAAATGCCTTTCCAGATCGTAAACCACCATATACTACGATAGCTGTAAACTTTGTTCTAAGATGTTCATATTTTTCCGTACTAACTGTGTAGTAATGCAGTTTTCCTACACCTGTTGTAGACATTGACCCCCAAGCTATAACAAATGCTGTAAATTTAACTTTTTCTTTAAAGAAATGTGGGCGATATGTTACATTTTTCAGTCGAATTACTTCTGCTATCGCCCGCACATGACTCAAAGTGGAACTCATATTATTGCGACAGTGTGGTCGTCGTCTGTCACTCTTCCTCGGGGATTCTATTCTATAGAAAGGTATAACACAAACTCGAATTTTCTATCTCCAAAGGAGCTGCCGCATATTATACTCCTTATCCGATTTTATTAAAGCAAGTTACGTATTTCAGGCAGACTGGGTCTCCCCATAAAGTTTCAATTTCTATATCTACTTAAACAAATGCGAAAATTGCAAATTTTAACTAGTTGTATCCTTTCAAAGAAGTTCAAATTATACTTAGTTCTCTCGCATTTATAACGATAACTGAATGAATATTAAAATTACTTAAATTAATTACCCCCCACACAAGAATTTCAACCAACAAAGAATTTACACACATTCAGTACCATCAAAAGCACAATAAGCTAGTCTTGGAAACGCTGCGCTCTGAAGCGTTGCCGTCGAGAATAAATGTTCAAATTCAAGCTGCAAAAAAATTATTAAACCACAACTTTTCAAGAGAAGAATTAGACTTGAAACAAACTATTAAATTTATAAAAAAATGTTAAAATCCTCGAGCTTATGGAAACTTCAATGTCCCTTCTCTCAAAATACATCAACGCTCAAGACCAGTTCAAATACCATAAATGAAATAAGGTATTAGCAATCCTGAGTGATAATACTTGGGAAAATCATCTAGAAACCTTGATATAACGTGCTACATAACTTATGAAAACTGAAGATTTTGAAGATTCTGATTACTATAAAGATTGCAAAGACTTTAAAGATTTCCAAGGTTTGAGCAATTCCAAAGATTCCCGGTTTTCCGAAACTAGAAATTCCAGAGATTCTAAAGAATATGAAGACTCTAAACAGAAGGCTGAAAATTTCAAAAGTTGTGAAGATTTTGAAGATTCCCAGGATTATATTTAAATATTGCAAAAATTTCGAAAATTCCATGGTTTCCAGAGATGGCACAAATTCCAAAAATTTCGAATATTTCGAGCCTTTGAAATTCCAGAAAACCCAAATATTCAGAAGATTCTGAAAATTCTATATACATACTCGTATTCAAGCGGTTTAAAAATTCTAACGAATTTATATTCTAAATAATTTAAAAATTTTAGTCATTTTAAAGTTTCTAAATAATCCACAGATTCTAGAGATGCTACAGATTCTAAAGGCTCTAGCACGTCTTGACAAGATTCTAAAGATTCTACAGACTCTCATGTTTCTGAATATTTCGAAGACCGAAGATTCCAAGACTTCTGAAAATTATAAAGATTCCATATATTTCAAAGATTCCAAATGTTGCAAAAATTTTCGATATTATGGGACTCTAGGAATTCCAGAAATTGTAAAGATTTCGAAGACCGAAGTTTCCAAAACTTATGAAAACTGAAGATTGTAAAGATTCTGATTACTATCTAAATTCCAAATACTTTAAAGATTTCCAGGGTTCCAGCAATTCCAAAGATGCCCGGTTTTCCGAAACTAGAGATTCCCGAGATTCTAAAGAATATGAAGACTCTAAATAGTTCGAAGGCTGAAAATTCCAAAAGTGGTGAAGATTTTGAAGATTCCCAAGATTATATTTAAAAATTCAAAAAATTTCAAAAATTCCATAGTTTCTAGACATCGCACAAATTCCAAAAATTCCGGATATTTCGGGACTTCAGAGAGTCCAGAAACCCCAAATATTCAGAA